CACCCTGAATGTAGGTGGCATCATCTGGTGTCCCAAACAATAAAAGCAAGAGAACAGAGGACCAGCATCTGCCATTCCACTTCCTGACTTTGGCGGGAATGTGACCAGTTACTTAATGCTCCTGCCACCTTCTTATCATCTACCCATGTGCCAAAACAAATGCTTGCTCATCTAAGCTGCTTTTATTGGGTATTTATCTCAGCAACAAGGGATGGAACTAGTGCTCCAGCCTCGCTATGTACTCATTTTTAGTGGTTCCAGCCAACCAAACCACTGGATCCTCAAACTCTGTAAAATGGGGACAGCAGCCCAGATCACTGTAAAATGGGGATAGCCCAGATCTCCCCGAGCTGCTAGAATTCAGTAAGGATGGTTGTCCAGGGTGAGAGGAAGTGGACTTCATTGATATGGGAATGTCATGCTCAGGGATCCAGCATGGTGGGGTCCGAGAGGGCTGTCTTCCTGGCAGTAGACGACCAAGCTCTTGTAATAACTTATGTGAGAGAGGAAGACAGAATGAAATTCCTGGTGTCTCTTTTTACAAGACCACTGATCCTCTTCAGAGGGCTCCTCCATCAGAAACTCATTTAATCTTAAATCTCTCCAAATCTTCTGCTCCCAGAGAACATTAAACTGGAGAGTGAGAAACCCTCTCTCGAACAGCCCTCCCCCAAAACAACAACCGAGATCAGTACCTCTTTAGGTGAAGGTCTGTGCTACCAGCCCACAATCATGGTAGTGGATTAAAGCCCTGTGAACATACATTTGCTCTGCATTGATGACAGCTGAGGTTTATTAACAGGCAGGATGAAAGAAGAAGCATATTCTCCAGTGCCTGGTGACTAACAGACTTTACTGGGATGTGCCTGGCTAAGTCATCACATGCCGGAGATAGCCATTCTGCTGCTTCACTGATGGACAAATTCTAAGGCAGGTATCAGAAACTCAAATAGCTATGGGGTCAAAGCTGAACGATGCAGGGAAAATACAGTGAAAACAACTAAAAGTCCACGACCAAGGCAGGATGTTGTGGTCTCTCAAGCATTGGCAAGATGGAGAAGCTAGAAGAATTCTCATCAGTGGGCACACTACATGTAGAGTTTCAGGAAATCTCAGAAGACGTTCCTTCTTTCCCCCCCCCCCCCTTTTTTTTTCAAGACAGGATTTTTTGTTGTTGTTCAGCCTCTGGGTGTCCTTGACCTCTCTCTGTAGACCAGGCTGGCCCCAAACTCAGAGATTTTCCTGCCTCTGCCTCCTGAGTGCTGGATTAAAGGAATGAACCACCAGTGTCCAGTTTAAGTTCCAATATTTTTTTAAAATAGGACTTGTTACTTTGTGGAGTCTGCAGTTAATTTGAGAAATAAAAATCAAATGAATTTATTTTTAATTAATCGTTCCAATTTTCTTTTGTACATGTTTCTACTTAGCAACCCTCTTTGACCTACTTCAATTGTCCCCTTTTGGAGGCAGTAGACACCCAGATGTGTTGGATGGAGGTAGTAGACTGGGAATTGCTCAGCTCCTGGGACAGTGGGTCACATGGCCATCTTAAGGGTACATAGGGCAGCACCTGACCTCGCTGGACCGGTTTTCTTTCTCCTTTCTGCTGCAGGCTAATCTTCAATCAGCAGGTGCTAGCCTGTAGTGGAACTCTTGTGTATAACTTGAATCATATCAGGCCCCCTAAGCCCTGCCTGTTTCTAAACCAGTTTCGTTCCCACAGTGCGGCAACATCATTTTGTAGCCTGCCTTTCCTCTGACTCAGGGAACCTCTGGGCCGTGACTTATCTCAGCTGAATGTCTTTCTCAGTACTTGGTGCAGGGACAGAACTGCTGCATTGTGGATGTGCTTATGTCCTGTGGTCCTGAGAAGCAGGCTCCCCAAACACTGGGAAACTTTGCCCTCTTTTTTGTGTGTGCATGCAAGACTACTTGGAAGGAATTTTGTTCAGTCTTGGTAACCATAGTGCAATAAAGCCCTGTTTCACTGTGCCCAGAGGGATTCCTGCTGTCTGTTTTCTTCAAGTCTTCTTCATTAGAATTCACTGTTAGCAGTACCATGGCTAAGCAGTGAGAAATTTCTTTTCTAAAAACGTTATTTTATTTTTATATAAGTTTATGTGGGTGCAGGTGACTCACAGAGGTCAGAAGAGGATGTCAGAGCCTCTGTAGTTGGAGCTGTGAGCCATCCAGTGTAGATTCTGGAACCTAAACTGAAGATTTCTGATAAAGCAACAAGTGTTCTTAACCACTGAGCCATTTCTCTAACCTGAGAAGAATCCTTTTGCTGTTGTTGTTGAGACAGAGTTACTCTGTGGAGTCCTGGCTGTCCTGGAACTTGCTCCGTAGACTAGACTGACCTCAGACTCACAGAGATTCATCTGCCTCTGCCTCCCAAGTACTGGGATTAAGGACATGCGCTTCTAGTTGGGAAAAATATGTGGTTCATTTATTAAAGTAAACTTTGAGAATCTTCATAACCCAAGCGTACCTCTATGTGGCGTGTGTGTTTGTGGTATGTATGTGTGGTACATGCATGTGTGAGTGTGGTGTATTTGTATGTCTGGAGGCTGATGGCAGGCTTCTTCTCTTACACTGCACCTTATTTTTTGAGACAGGAGCTCTCACTGAAGCTGGTGTTTGCTGGTTTGACTAGACTGGATAGACGGGATTTTGCAGGAATCTTGTCTCTGCTTCCTCAGAGTTGCGATTACAGGTGTGCCAATAGGCTGGCTTTCCCCATGGATCTTAGCCATCCAAACAGGTCCTTGTGATTGTGTAGCACATATTTCACCAACAGAGCTGTCCTATCAGCCTCATTATCTGTCTCTTGATGGCTTCATTTAGGTCATGGACAAGGAGTCGCTGCTTTGTACACACAGCCTGCTCTGGAAGACTAAAGTCTGTGTGGCTTCAGTGTAGACACACTGTTCCAGCACACAGACACCGCTGGCCAGCTCTCCCACAGATCTACATTCCGTGGACTGGGTAGCTGGTTGTTGCCTCTGCCTCCCGAATGCTATTTGTTGACAGGTTTCTGTCCCACCTGGTCCTGCAGTCATTCAGTCTCAAAGAAACACACAGAGGGAGGTCTATAGTAATTATAAAGTGGTTGACCTATTAGCTCAGGCTTCTTCTTTACTCTTACAACTTATAATAACCCATAATTCTTAGCCATGTGGCTTGGTACCTTTTATCAATGAGACATTCTCATTTTGCTTCCTCTGTGTCTGGATGACAACTGCAGACTGAATCTTTCCTCTTCCCAGAATTCTCCTGTTCTGGTCACCCCATCTATACTTCCTGCCTGGCTACTGGCCAATCAGCATTTTATTAAAGTACAAGAAGACAAATCTTCACAGGGTACAAGACCATTGTCTCACAGCAGTTGGTGCATTGGGAGGCTTGCATGCTGGGAGCCTCCTTCTGGCCCTGACTGGGTGTGTTAAGGCACAGCACATTATATCCCCTTTTATTTATGAAATAGAGGAAAGCAAGGGTATGGGGCACAGGAAAGAGAGAGGTTTTGTATGGTACCTTAGACAATTCCTTTTATCTGAATTAAAAACAACTGAGGGAGCTGTTTTCCAGCCCGAGGTTGAGTCTATAACAGTTGCATTGGCTTGGGTGTCAGCTGTCCAGAGACGCTTAGGTCCCCAGGACATGCATAGGTAAGTACTGTGCCATTTTATATAAGGGACTTGAGCTGCCATGGGGGTGGTCTGGAGCCAATGCTGTCATACATATGATTGGCAGCTGCTGCCCCTTGTCTGTCTGTCTTTCTCTCACTTTCAAGCCAGGGTTCTGTGCATAACTCCGGCTGTCACAGAACTTTCTCTGTAGACCAGGCTGGCCTCAAACTCAGAGATCTGCCTGCCTCTGCCTTCCAAGTGATGGAATTAAAGGCGTGTGCCACCATGCCTGGCTCCCTTTTCTCTTTTAAGTTATTGACCTGAAGGAGATTTCAGTATACTAACTGCTTGGAATTTCTATTTTGTTTAACAAATCGTCGCAGGATGAGACAGTTTCTTCTGTCCAGGCACCAGGTCTGCTCTGCTGGGCGGTTTGGTGGCGAGTCTTACCCAAACAGATTGCAATGTGAAAGAAAAGGCCATGTGAGTTCCTGTGCAGCCATGTCCCCCAAACTTTCGAACTTTCTTTTAAATCTCAAAACAAAATGGGAACAGTTCTTAAGGCCTACAAACTCAGCACCAAAAAGCACAGTACAACCACATTATTTTATTTGAAATATACAGAAATATTACAAATTTATAAACCATCTAAAATGAACAGTATTTACAAGCATTCTTGAAAAATATAAACTCTCATGAACACAGTTTATCAAAAATATTTGAGAACATTCAACATATTTCTATGCCTCCCCCCCCCCCAGAAGGCTTGGGCAGGTGAAGTGGACGTGTAGTTTGGCGTCGCTGGTTT